GCACGAGACACCAAAAAATACAACCCAGAACCCCAAAACTTCATTTTCCCATCCCAGTACAGCTCTGGCTCAGTGCAGTGCCTGGGACATCACCAATGAATGTTTCTCCAGGGAGTGATTGTAAGAAATTCCTTTTCCCCCATCCAAATTCCCCACAGGTTTAATTTCATCCCTGTGTATCCCTTTAATACACAAAAGGAGTTGAGTGGATGACTGATAAAGAGGATTTCTTAGGGTTTTTATCTGCAGCATTTATTAGGAGAATAGGAGCAAATCCCTCTTTTTTTTTCCATGATTTCCTCTTTGGTCAGYCTAGAACCTATTTGTAGTTTCTTAGGTGGATAGAAGACTAAAGGTAATGCCCTATTTTTTTAAAAACTATAGGAGAGGCAAAAAGTGCTGGAGACCTTGGAATCTGGAGCAGCAGCCTGCTCAGCTGTGGTGTTGGTAGCTGGCTTTGCTTTTCCTGACCTGTTTTCCAGGAGAGCTTGTGTTGGGACAAGGGATCATTTCCCTCCCCTGAATTTCCAGCCCCAGGCAGAAGGAGGGAAATTTTCCATCAGAGGGTGGGGAATCTGTTGGTTCACCTTTCCTGACTCCACTCAGTGTGGGGCTGTTGTAGGAACACGGAGCTGTTCCTTTTCCCTCTCCTGGTGTGGTTTGGTGGGATGTGCTGCACTTTCAGCATTAGGGACAYCTTGGAAAACACAACTCACACACAAACACTTGGAGCAAAGCTTCCCCTGGAACAGAAACTCCTTTATCTGAATTATTTGCTGTTCCAGTTGCCACCCAGATGATTTTGGGGCCCTGCTGGCTGCATTTGCCCAGCAGCTTTCCCTTTTCCTGCTCCCTAAGGGCACCTAGAGTGATTTTTGACACAGCTTGTACTTTAAATYGATCCTTCTGCTGTTCTGCCAGATGTAAATTTGCCTCTTGCAGTCCATTTGTGTCAAGAACTAAAACTGTGAACATTTATCTTTAATATTGGTGGGTGTGAACTGAAATAAAAGTTTATTTTCATGCTCTTTTAAAAAAAAATGTCCTGAAAACACATGGAAATGGAAGCACTTAGGTTCAGAGTGACTCTTGTAGGGTCTGTCCCAGTAAGTCCAGCTTGCATTCCCATTCCCAGGATGGACTTTGCCTTGGAAAAGCATCTCCCAAGTAGGTTATGAATGATTAATGAGCTTCCTCTAATAACATTTTCTGTTCTCTCGCTCCTACTGTCACACCAAATCTGCTTCTCCTGTCAAACCAGTCCTAGGGGGCTACAACTTTTAAATTCTGATCTGTTGGAAAAGATGGTCAGGAGGAAAAATGGGAAACACAGAGCAAATTGGCTTTGGAATGAACAAGGGCAAGGTTTGAGCATGGAATTGATCTCAGAGCTGGAATGCTGGGAGGGGATGGGAGGGAATGGGGGATTGATCCACGTGAGTTTTGGGTGGGTGGGAAAGGACGGAGATTCTCTTGGAATGTCAGAAATCTGGGAATGTGAGGAGCTGGAGGAGCTGAGAGCATCCTCACCTGTAACAACTGCCCAYGGGGATGGGTTTGCACAGGAAAGCCAAACCTGAGATTCCTGCTGGGAAGAGCATCCTGTCTGGGGGGAAAAGCTTCCTTTGCCATTACTGGGACACTCAGGGCTGTTACTGGGAGACTTCCAGCTTGGAGTCAAAGTCTTGTRAAAACTGGACATGAAGCCCCACATTTTGGTTTATTTGGAGATTTGCAGAGGGAGAAGAAAATGAATTCCAATGTTYTCTTGTCTCCATGGAAGTAGAAAATCAACATGCAGAACATGGCATGGCAGCATGGCAAAATAGTGTTTTTTAAAACCTTTTTTTTTGTCATCTAATCTGCTTTTCTAGTTCAATTTGGTTATACAGAGCTGTCTTGAGGGGCTGAGTTGTGCTCAGGCAGAATCCCCTTGCCAGGGTGATTCCCAGGTGGGGTGTGGAGAGCAGGAAACCAATTCTGGTTTTTTGGGTATTTGACCCAGTTCTGGGGGAGATTTTTCCTAGGATGACAGAGGTGGGGACCARAGCTCAGAACCCAAAAGGGAAGGGCTGAGCTGGTGTTTGGGAACAGTTTGGTGTAGATGAGGGTGGGAGTGGGCTCTGGGCCCCCTGGGCTTGTCCTGTTCCTCTGCTCCTCATCCCAAAGCTCCATCTCTAACTGCAATATTTCAGCTTTTTAAAAATTTTTTAATTGTTCAGTGTGAAGCTGCAGCATAGCCCTGGAGCTTGACCAGAGCAAACAACAGGAAGCCAAGTTCAGATTTCCARCATTTTATTGATTCACACACATCTTGTAAACAAAGCCATTAMCTGTGCAACACCCTTCCAACCTGTAATTAGAGCACTCCAGTAAATCCCTGAAATTCCTCTTGACTGAGTACAGGCACTGCCTGCTGCTGTAGTTCTGGGGAAAATTCCTCCCCTGGAGCTGAGGCAGGAAAAGGGGCTGGCTCTGGTGTGTGTCCCTCCTGGGCCTGGTGTCACTGCAGCCTCTGTGACTCGGTGCCAGCAGAGGAACAAGAGCTG